TTTGAATTAATATTTTTTTACAAATTCATGAAATATACTTTTTCAAATAATTCATTTGGCCAACCTAAAAGGTACCCCTCGTTGTAGGAAATATTGGTATAGAATTATAAAAAATACTTTTTGCCGTGTTGGCTTTTAATGGGACGAGCGCGCATTTTCGATATTAAACGAGCATAAAATATTTATTATTTTCCCTGGCGCAGTCAATAAATATAAATGCGGCGATTGTGACTAAGCTGCTTTTTTGTTTGTCGGCGGCCGCGCGATTACTAAAAAGGGCGGTGCCTAATGGGCCGTGTTATCCATGCATACACATATAAAACGCGTTTAAAACTCTGCCGCGATTGATTTATTTTTATTTTTCCAATGGATTTTTGCATTTAATGCCGCATGACGCCCCTGCAGCTTTTGCCATTCAAAAGCCGCGGCACAAATTGAACGCGGCCGAATTAGAGGAAAAGCAGTCCCGGCGACTCCCAGCATTGTCAAATCGACGCTTTTGAAAACCTTTTCGGGCTTGATTGGCCACAAAATCCAACCCAGCTGCTCTTGTTAATCTGCGCCAACGGTACAAAAAATACCGCTGAAATGAGAATTAAATAAATTTTGGGAAAAAAGTGTCTATAAAATATATTTTGTAATTTGCATTAATTCTTTGGATAATCAATTATTATTCGACAGGGAAGTTTGATAATTTGATTAAATGATAACATTTTAATAATTATTACTAATTTATTTGTAATTACGTTGAGAATTTATGATAATCATTATAATTGCAGAGACCCAGAACTTTCATATAAAGAAAAACTCACTTTATAATTATCTTAATAAAACTGCTTTTATATCTATAAATATATGAATACTTTTGTGATAGAGTCGGACGCGCATTCTATGCAATTACGGTTCAATTAGATAAATAAAATAGCAATTAAAGCTGCTAATTAAAACGCATACAATCGTCTCGCGGCTTTATTTTTAAAAGATTGCGCCGAGGAAAAAAGTAACAATTCGTTGTAAACTTGTATATCTGCAAACAATGCTTTTACAACTTTCGTCTGCTTCTTCTTTTTATTTGATATAAAAGACATTTTTATTGGATCCTTTTCCTTTTTTAGCACGTAATATAAATTTTATTGCCCCCTTGTTTTTTCTTAATAATACTCGCCGCGCATAATTGAATTGTTTATTCAAGAAATTCATGTCGCGGCGCCCAAGGAATTTTCACGCTTAAATATATGGAAATTAATTCGGATAATTATCGACGAGTGCGGAAAATTTGCATACGGAAATCATAATAATATTCCGCATCGGCGAACATGCGCGCGCGGAAAATTATTCCAGCGGCTGCGAACAATAAAAATTTATAAGGAAATTCTCGTGAAACACGCAATTTTTAATCTTATAAAAATAATGTTCTTGTTCTTTTGCAAACATATCTCCCAAATAAAGAAAAAGAATGGAATGTAAAATTTGATTATTTAAATTTTTAATATATATAAAATAATGATTTTATTAAAACAAAAAGACGAGAAAGCAACAACTATAATTAATAATTAAATTCGAGCTCATATCTATTTAATTATATTTTATTTTAAATTTAAAACAATCAAGGAAACAATTTTTTTATTAAGAAATATTTCCAATAATAAATTTTGGAATAATTTGTCTGAATGAGCTTGTCCTTTCTTTTGTACAAAAAAATTATATGAAAGACTTTTGTGCAGACGTGATTTGGTTTCGAATTCAAACATCATATCTCGGATCGGCCAAAGTGATGATTAACGATCGCCGTGTGTATGTTTGGCACTCCCAATTTGTCCCTTTCTGGTTTTAATATTCCGATCACCCATGCAGCGTTTGTCTCTGCGGCTGGCCATTTACAAAAACAGGTTATGCACTAATTGCCATGAGTCGAGTTGTTGATTTTCATCTTCGGAAAGTCTATTACGGTAGCGCGGCGTACAAAGAAAAAAGGACAACAAAGGCCGCGGCACGCCCACGTCGCGACACGACTTGGCTCTCAGCAATTTGGGCAAACGCGCGCGTTGTCCGCCTCATTAAAATGACATTCCCAATCTAAACGGTCCAACGGTGTAAAAAGAAACATTGAAAGAGGCTGCTTGAATTTAGATCGATCTGCTTTTGAGACTTAAGTCTATGGGAAATGCTAAAATTTGAAAATAATTAAGATAGAAATTCAACCTCGTCTGATTTTCCTCAAATCTATATACTATTATATTTTTAATTTTTTTTATATTATCAATTATATATATATATATATATATATATATATATATATATATATTTTTTTTTTGGCTTAAATCTAGACACATTTGAACATTTTCTCTATTAATTGAATTTATGACCGAAATTAGCTTGAATTTCAATAGATTTTTATTTATTATTTTGATGGTCATATAAATTCCACAACCCGAGTCAAGACAATGGGTGAGGTCTCCTCTGTCGTCGTTATAATAAAACCGCGTGTGTGTCTCTTTTGTGCAGCGTCCGCGATTTATTTTGAGGCGACACAGAAATTGATTGATATTTGCTCAGGTGCTGCTCTCTTTAAAATTTCTCTCCCTAGCTCGCCTCGATTGTTTGACTTTGGCGCCCACTTATTAATGTAATAATTCAATTATGTGTCATTACATTTGTTTGTTTATATTCGCGCGCGGCCATCACAAGTTATTTTGTTTGCTCGCGCCAATAAACGCTTTTCAATTCTCTCTTGAAAAACAATATTCTTTCTTTCATTGTGCAATGCGCGCAGATCGAAGGAAAAAGCAAACAAATTACTCAAAGTTTGATAAATTGCCACTTGTCAGTCTTGGCAAAGAATTGCGTCTGCTGTGGAAATTTAATTCAGCATTTGTTTGCGGTTCAGAAGCAAAAAGAGGCAGTTGGCCAACCTGGAAAATGGGAATGAGAGCTAGAGGGGTGGGGAGGATAATTGGCCATTGGAATTGCAGAACTTCATTTACACAGAGCAAAATTTAACAATGTAAAAATTGGAAAAATTGATTGTTAATCTCCAATTAAATTTAAAGTTCCAAGTGAAATTGTGTGAATTAAATAAAATTCTGGGTTCAAATTCACTTGGCGGATAAAACGCGGCTCAAATAAGGGGTGAAGATTAAAAAAACTGATGAAATTTTGCCTCTTTTTTTTCGAATCAAATTATAATTAAAGAATTGTTAAATGAGGCTGCATAATATTCCTTTAAAATATATTTATAAATTATTAATAAAGTATGGGGTTTTATTTCTATTTCATAACTTGAATAATCTAAATCCAATGAGAAATAAAACAGTACATTATTCTATTGGATTTTTAGTGTATTAAACGTGAAAAAACGGCGCTCCTTTGTAACCGCCAAACGCAATGAAATTGCAATTCGTAGAGCACTTGAAATAACACACAGACATAATGACCCTTAACTTTAGAAAAGGGGATAGTAAAGTACATGCGCGCACCCCTCTGCTTTCCCTCTGAGCGTTCAGCTGCTCGGAGAGCAAAATAATAAATAATCATAATAATAAAATTGGTAATGACCCTCTTTCCTCCCCCACCCTAGCTGCCTCCCTCACAACCCCTGCGCTCATCTCTGTATCAAATTGAGTATTAATTCGCGCGCCACCCCTTTTTTTCTATAATAATATCTTTTGCCGGCCGGAATGGAACGAGTAGAAAAATTGGTCGCGGTCAACTAGCCGCATTGTTCGCGGTCACTTGAAACCCGGCGAGTTGGCCTGGGAAATTTGTCTACGCTTGGTGTAAAAGTATAAAAGAGAGACACAATTTACGGTCACGCCGGCGATTTAGACGTCAGAGAGTTTAACCGAGGAAGTGATCCACGAAATTATATATGACGAGCAAGAGAGACTTCAACTGTTGTCGCAAAAACTTTTAATGCTAATTCAATCTGAAAAACGAAATTAATAAACAAAAATACTTGCCAAATGCAGTACCAAAAGGTCTCGTAAAGAGATATTACAACTTTTTAGATTTTAAATTGCAGCAGTTGATTAAGGTAGAAGATTTAAAGTAATTGATAGATACTGTTTTTATTTTTGTGAATTAATTAATAACAAGACGCGAGTAATAATTAAGAATTAATAATCTTTAATGAAATTAACAATTTATTTTCAGTTTTTTTTATTAATAAAGATTTTACTATAATTAAGGAGGAATTTGAATTGACATAGATGAAAATAACAATTAAGTTACATTAGTTTAGTGATTGATGCAAATTTGGAATTATATTTTAAGGAAAGATGTAATATTAGTTCGTCAGATTTCAACAAGTGATTTTAATCATTGATATGTACGAGAAAATGCCCAAGATTGTCTCTTCTTTTCAATGCGCAGAACTCCGGATTTATGAAACAAAATTTCTGTTTTTACTGAGATTTTAACGTTTATGTCTTGGGAATTCAATATAAGATCAGGTTAGACTTCACCAGTTTTCTATTCTAATCAAAATTAATGGAATTATATTATATTTTTAAAAGTAGTCAAATTTTTTTAATTTTTTTTCAATTAATTTTGTCCCTTTTTGATGGGAAATTGATTTTTTGCAGACTTTTTTATACGAAAATATGTTAAATTGAACATTTTGTATATAATATTTTATATTTGTTTATAAAAACGAAGATTGCGGCCGTGTTTAAGTTTGAGAATTTGACTCGTTTGGCTGCAGATTATCTCTGTCGCTGGCCTTGTTCTCAGTTTACTCTGCATCAGGCTGTGGTAATAGTATTGTGTTCCCCTATTAGAATTACTTTATATAATGTCTCGGTGATGTGCCCAGTCAAGGGAAACGTGCAGCCGCAGTTTTATACTATAATATGGCACTCGCATCTCCGCTTGTCTTGTTTTTCTCATCAATCTCCCCGGATTGAATTTCAACTCGAGTATTTTCTCAAAAGGGCTGCCCCCCTCATTTTAAACCTGCACTAATTGATTTGTATGCGAAATAAATTGTGAATTTTGTGCAGGTCACGGGGGCGAGGAGGGCCACTCGGGCGGCCACCACGGCGGCGGCGGCGGCCTCACGAAAAAGCAACGCAAGGCGCGGACCGCGTTCACCGACCACCAGCTGCAGACCCTCGAGAAGAGTTTCGAGCGACAAAAGTACCTCAGCGTGCAGGACCGCATGGAATTGGCGGCCAAACTCAGCCTCTCGGACACACAAGTCAAAACTTGGTACCAAAACAGACGGTAAGTCTCGCACTTTATTTCATTTAAATCATCAATTAGAACTATTGTAATTTTTACCTGATGAAATTTGCAACCATTGGAAATTTGAAAATTGTCAAAAAGGAACAATTTTTCTATGGAATTTTGAGCAAATTAACTGCAACAGTGGTACAAAATTAGTTTGTGTTATATAAATCCATGTTTTTCAACCTTTGCAAAAAAGTGGACTCTATTGTGAGGATAAAAATTTTTTGCAACGAGGAAAAGCCCCAATCTTCATTTCCATAAAAATTTTAGAGTCTTATTTTTAATTATGCCATTATTGAAATATCTAAAAAGGGGCTTTACCCACAATTTTTAGGCGTGAAAATGACCCCAGATTTTTTTTAAATTTTCATAACTTTGGAAGTTGGAACAATGATCTAAACTGTTCCTGGCGTAACTTTTCACGCTGAACAACGTAAATGCGCTGACATCAAAAGTCGTGCGCTTGGAAATGCCACTTTTTAAAAAGGTTTTAATAAAAGTCAAATTTTGACGGTGATAGGCTCGTTGGATTTGTTCAGAGTGCTATGGAAAAAATGTAGCCCGTGAAATTTTACATTGGCCCTGTAGTTTTCATAGGTGATATTCATCGTCGTTCTCAAAATAATTCAGTTTGAATAAGAAAAATTTGATTTTCCGAGACATTTTTTGGGATCTAAAATGTTAATGAATTGAAAAATCAATCAGAATAAAATTATAGAGGGCGATCCAAAAGCCTTACGTGGCCCAGGCTATAACTTCACTTAGCCCCAGGGTAAATTAGCCAACCAGCAAAATTGAATGGCGGGGTTAAATTAGCCCGGGCCAGGTTAATTTAGACTAGGGGGGCCAAGTTAGCCTTTTGGATCGCCCTCATTATATATTGCAATATATACGTTTTTGCAAGTCTTAATATACGTAATAAGAAGCATAATTACTTGATAATTATTGATTTTTCAGATTTTATGACCAAAAATATTTGCTATATTTTCACAAAAGTCATGCAGCGTCAAGAAACTTTACTGTCAAAGTGAGACGAAATCAAAGTTATTTAGTAAAATTATTGATTATTTCCACAAGTGCAGATTTTAAAGTTTGGAATAAATAAAATTTAGAGCAGCTGCGTAAGGAAATAATTTGTTCAAAATATCAAGTGGATCTTTCTCTTCGTATTAAAAAGATTTAATTCCGCCTAGAATATCGATTCAGCAAGTCCGCGCAGTTGACTTTTTAGTATTCATGTTAGGTAGTTTTAAAGAGGCACCTCTTCTCTCTCTGGCTATGTAAGCGGAAATCTTAATGGACACAAGCGCAGGGGATGCAGTGTATATGTGGGGTGCGGGAGGGGTTGCAGTCGCGCGAGGGTTGCACTCGTCGATGGCGCAGGCACGGTTTATGCAAATCGTCGAGAAGATCTCGTGAGTGTTGTTGCGGCGGCTAGGATACAAGAGCATTATGCAAATCACGCTTGACGCCTCAAATAGGTTCGCCTTCTCAGCCAATGAGCTCGATTACCGCCTGGCCACGCCCACTTCCCCGGCCACCGCCGCGCTCGGAGAGAGATGAAGAGAGAGAAAAACGGTACAGCACACAAAACGAATTCAAATAGACGCTCGGATCGCAAGTGACGAACAAAGACTATCTGAAAATTTGCAACTTTTTACTCTAAATTTACCGAAAATTACGATACCTAATTTACATAAATTTTCAGTAATCTTTCATAATATTTGCCAAAATTTTTATTATCATCATTATATCAATTTTTTTAAAGCTATTCCGCATAATTATTGCAGGTTTAGTCAACGTGTATAGTTTTTTACTGTTACTTTCATCACGTAATTTAGGCAGTTCAATTTACATAACTTTGGTCGCCTCTCCTATAATATGCGGGCCATTTTTTAAGGAAAACTTTGAACTTTGTTCTCAATCAATATTATATTAATTAAATGTTCCTTTTGCTTGGCGCAAAATTTGCAGACTCTGTACTTTTAAACATCTCAAAGAAAAAAGCAAAAACATTGATGCGTTATTCAGTTGCGTTTTTAAACAATTAGGAAATGAAGACAAACTTTTGGATAATATATTTCTGTGGGGAATTTCTTTTGTTTTCTTTTGAAAAGTTTTTACAATTGAAAGATCCGTCGTTTATTGTATTCTTTGAAAATTAGCATGACAATCGAGAGTCAAGTGGCGGCGGCAGATGCGACGCATAAAGAGAAATGTGTGTTCTTTTTGCTTCGGGTGCGCCGCCGAGTCAAGGTGCCAATTACGAGGCTGTCGAAACGCGGCGCGATGACGTGGCCAAATCTGCACTGCTCATTTTCTTTATCAAATTCTCGCTCTCCATCGATATCAGCCGAGTGTAAATTTTATATAAATGAATCCAACAACTACAGCAAAAGTCCAAAGTTTTTTTGTTATCTCTTTTACTATTTCGGCGCTGAACGTTTCCTGTTAATTCTTATAAGTGCCGCCGCCACAGATATATAATTATTGGTTTGCTCGCTGCGAACTCTGCACGCGGTCGAAATGCAAACGAAAAATAATGTGTGTTGTGATTGTAATCTCTGGATCGCGCCTTTTTGTCTCCTCCAAATTAATGTTTTGCGCCGAATTCGTCGTGAAAAAGGAAAAGGTGTGTCGCAATTATTAAAACTCGCAGAGATATAAATTCAAAAAGCAAGCATGCGTTTGATTTCGCTGAAATATTATCTCCGAACGATCTCATTTGCCGCCAGCTAAAATAATAATTTGATATCACAATTGCTGATGCAACAAAATAAAGAGAATAAACTTTCAATTTAAGATATAATATGAATTTTGTGAGCTATAATATATTTATTCATTTTAAAATCTTTGCCATTGGCAAATTAAGGTCTTCTGCTTTGCTCTTTCTCTCTCTCGTACAAAGTCAATCGATCGATGCAAATTGCGGCGCTGCTCCATTTATGCATCACAACGATATCCTCGCCCCCGCCGGCCGCGTTTCCTTTCAAGACTTTTATATTTTCTCCTCCCTTGAAAAGATATCGAGTTCTATCTGTTTGGAAACATCTCGGAGTTTCCTTCTCCAAATATTTGCACCCCTCGGAAGGGTGCAGCTTTTTATTATTCGCGGCGCGGACGATGCGCCGAGCGCGATTTATCGACATGCAACGAGAGATCCGGCCTGATTTTACGATTGCATCGTGTGCTGAGAGGCCGTTAAAGCCGCAGAAAATATGCTAATTTGCGCCAGAGGAAGATTCATGGCGAATGTAAAAATACGGAGAGAAATTATTCTTTGGGATTTATCGCGGTAAATTATTTAAACCAACCATTAAGCACCATTTTATTATTTGGCCAATCATAAATTTGCATACAAATATTTAGTTTTTTATTCTTCGTATTGCAAACGATTAGTCTAATGTGAGATTTGAGTCCATTATGGCGTCCGAGAGCAGAAAATAACCAATTGCGCGTGGCCTCGGTTGCACAAACCGCAAATTAAAACGCGCAAAGTGAAAGTTAAACGCGAGCCAAGTTAAGCAAATTGCGCTCTTTTCGACGCTGCTATTGATATCATGAGAGACGTTGAGAAACAAAACGATACATCATCTTTCCTCTCCAGCATCGTAACAAAAATACAAAATATTTCAAAAATCAAATATAAAAAAGTATTGGAAACTGCGGATTTATGGAAGGAGAGGCTTTTGCAAAAAAAAACGGTCCTAATAATTTTGACTGTAATTTATGTCTACATTGGTTTGTAGACTTTATTTCCAAGGCGAAATTTTAGTCAGATTTTTTTTTAATTTTAAACATTGTTTATTGTGGGAATTCACTAAACTTTTTTTCTCCAAATTTGCCACACCAAAATTGATACAAATTTCACCAAATCACGTTGAAATCGCCCAAATTAAGATGTTAAATGAAATCAAGAGGTTGGTCGATATCCAAAATATTTACATTTTGATCTTATCTGAAAAGGTTGAAATTTTTATCCTCCTTAAATAAAAAAGTTTGAAAAAAATATTGTTTTTTTTGTAAAAGCCTCTCCTTCCATCAATTTTCACTTTACATTACTTTTTATATTTGATTTGAAATATTTATTTTTATTTTTTAAATTCAAATTGTTGCTCTGTTTATAAAAAGTCTTTGCAGTTTTAGTGGAATTATTGAAATATAACTTTTTTTTTTTAGGGTCAGGCCAAGACAAAGTCTTGTCGGCCTGTGCCCTTTATTGGTGGTACAGAAGGCACCACCCAATTAATTTTTTATTTTTTTATTTTTGGGTTCAACTTTATTTAAAAATCATCATTTTTTGCTGGCATATCCTTAATTTTGGTCCACGCGATGATGACAAACAAAGCTGAAAACTAAAAGAGAGAAAAAAGATTAAGAAAGGATGTTGATTTGGTTGGGGTAGGGGAAGGTCAGATTTTGATATCTTTTGGTGTTAAGGATTTACTGCATAATTTTTTGTTTCAATAATTATGTCTATTTTTAATTTTTATTTGTGCTGCAAATTAAAAATAAAAAGGTTTTCATTTATTTTTGGGTTAATTTTTGTGTGTGCTGGAACTGCAAATTTTTTTCAGTCTGGAATTAATAACTGCACCCATATTCAATCTTTTTATTCAACCAAAAAAAAACGCACCTTCTTTAATTCCACTCAATTCAGATAAACCAAAGGAACTGAAATTAAAAACAATGCGAGATCACCCCTTTAATATTACGCTTGATGGCAAAGCAGGTGTTTTCATTGTTGGTGATGGAGTAAAATTGTGCATATGTTGTGTTGTTGCAGGACGAAGTGGAAAAGGCAGACCGCGGTGGGTCTGGAGCTGCTGGCGGAAGCGGGAAATTACGCCGCCTTCCAGCGAATGTACGGCGCACCCCCGTACTGTGCGTGGCCATACCCCCCACCCCCGCCACCCGGCCCAGGCCCCATGGCCCTCACCTCGGCCGCCTCCAGGTCCGCCAGCGTCACACCACCTTCAAGTGCCAGGTACGGAGACAACGACGGTTTTTTAATTTTATTTAAAACTTTATAAATTAAATGAGAAATTGAAACAATTTTTTTTATTGCGGAAGCTTTTAAAAAATGGTCAAATATTTTTTTAAATATTAATTGGGTTTCATTCCAAATTACAATTTAACTGAAAATTAAAATAATTTTGTTAATTAGAGATATGAAATTAATTTAATTATTTAATTTAGCAATTGTAAATAAATTTTCGCTGCAATGAGGATATTTTACGAAAATTTCATCGACAAACTCAAATTTAGATTTGAAATAATTTTTAATATTTTAAAGGTGATTGGAAATAATTTTGTGTGTGTTGATTTCAGTGTTTCGTCGGCGAGTTCTCCTGGCGCGGCGTCGGTGGTCGATCTCTACTACCGGCAGGCGGCCGCGGCCGCCGCCGCGGCCGTCACGCTGCAAAAGCCGCTACCATATCGTTTGTACCCGAGCGCCATCGGCAGCACAGGTAATTATCAATGTAATGAGATCTGCTATGATAATATTCCGCGATCGCTATCTTCGCTTCTAATGCGCCCTTTGCATACACATTACTTAATTGCTAATTAGTATTTAATTGCCTCCGAATTATTAAACGCGACGAGTCAGCACAAATTTATATAAATATATGAATTTTTTTATAGAACTCGGTATAAAAATGTAATATAATAAAAGTGCTAACAGCTGGAAAACGATTTGACGTGTGTAATTGGTGTGTCAAGTTTTATAAAAACATGCACACGAGAAAGAAAGGAATTTTATCGTGACAAAAACGCGTCATTAAAGAGAGACGATTATATATTCCAAGGTGAAAAGCCTGAATTTTGTTCAATCCGCTAATCGATTAATAATTATCTCTGGAAAAAAGAATATATATAAACTTTTTTTGTTTCCCATTGCGAGTTTAATGACAACCTTTACACCCGCGTGGTTTTGCTCGGAAATAAACGCGGTCCCTGCGTTAGTTTTCCTTTCCTGCCTGCGATTTTATCTGTCGAGCGCGGGTAATTGTTCGTTCTGTGAATATATCAATTCGCCGCGCGCGTTTTCCTGAACGCCTAATTCCCAGAATTTCGCGTTATTAAACTGTTTATTCGAAAAAGCGAGCGGCCGCGCACGTAAATTTATTCAGCATTTTGGCCGCGGGACGAGATCAATCAATTCCCATCATTAGGCCCTTTTCTATGATTTTTGTTCACCTTTCTGACTGAGGCGCAAAACAAATTATATCAATTCACATGTTTTCTCTCTGAAAGTGAAAAAAGACCAATTTCAGGAATTAATCCAAAATGTAAACAGAAAAATTCATTAGAAGTTCAATACCCGCGTAATGAATTTTAAACTAAAAGAAATTGAGTCCTGATAGCAAAATATTATAAAACAGATTCAAATGATTTTGGCGCGGAAACGCAATGATCTCTGCATTCAACCCCTAAATTGGGTGATTTATTTAAACTCAATTTTTACCTATAGTACATGAAATTTGTTCTTCTTTCAAATTCAGAGATAAAAAAATATCCCGCCGGTGTTCCTCTTTAACATGTTGACCCGGTTTGATCTTTTCCTTCGAATTCTTCTTTTTTCCACGAATAAAAGTTTAATCAGTTGTTGCTATTATATAATTTGGCAATTTGGCGACTGCGATGTGGTTTGTGTGTGTGTGTGTATAATTAATTAACGCGCGGTGTGTGTGTGTGTTTGTTGGCAGGAAGTGCAGCGGGGGGACATGCACATCACCCTCAATTAGTGGCGCCATTAGCATTAAGCTCATTAGCCGCTTCCACGTCGCTGAGTTCGCTGTCGAGTTACTACAACTCGGCGGCGGCGGTGGCCGCCTCCGCCGCCTCCAGAGAACCGCCCCCGGCCGCCTCCAGCGCCCGCAGCAGCAACAGCGGATCGCGCCCCGGATCCCCCAATTAAGCATGTAAAATTTACAAAAAAAAGAGGTAAATTTCTTTTAAGTATTAAATTGGAAAAAATCACCAATTTATGTAGAATTTTGTTTTGTTTGAATTTTTATATTTATTTGCGTCCGGGGACATTTGTGTAAAAAATGAATTTTAGCAGATGCGTCATTTTTGTTTTTCGAAATCCCCGGTGCGCCAATTTTGTGATATATATAATTATCGGTAAAATTAAACTCATCACACGTTATAAAAGTTTTGCGTGCAGTGACGTGCACACAGCTGAACCAAAACAAAAGTATTAACAGAGACAATTTTTAATATAATTTTTTCCGATGAAGAAATGTGTGTAAATTTTGCCACATCATACTTAATTATAAACTATATCAATTACTTAAAAGACGACGCTATGTTTCATTGATGGACGTGCATGTGTCATATAAATTATTATATATATATGAATGTGTGTAAATGTTCCATACGAATCTCCTACATAGCTGTGTATATATACAAGAATTAAAAGTACTTCATCTCAGCGGCCGCCTGCTTAAAAAACCGCACCGGACAAAAGTTTCATTTATTTTTAATTGTGAAAGTTTAATCAAACTTGGTCAAAAATTCAATTAAAGACCCACGTGGGTGTTTTTTTTTATTGCTCTTTCGAAATATCGCTAAATTTAGATCGAATTACTATGTTTAAAATTCCTAAACGTTGCGTCGCAATCACAAGGAAACCTATTTCGAGTAATTCGCGCAAAACAAATTAGAGAATTGGGTATTTTGTCAGTTTGGTAAAAAAAAAAAACTTCAACGTTTGGTCATTGGTGGCGCTGAGAGCGCTGATGCCGCTGATTTTGCCACTCATTCCCCCACGGCGCTGTGAAGAGACTTGGCAAAATCAGCGATCGCAACGCCACCAATGACCAAAAGCAGAAGTTTTTTTACCAATCTGACAAAAATACTCAATTCTCTAATTTTTTCGGGCGAGAGAATTACTCGAAATAGGTTTCCTTTGATTGGACGCAAAACGTTTTGGAATTTTAAATATAGTATTTCAATCTAAATTTAGCGATATTAAAAAAAAATAGCAATAAAAATTACTGATTGGGTCTTCAAAATCCTTTAAAATTGTCCAACTTTCACATATTCAGAAATAAATAAAACATTTTTTCCGCCTTGTGCGGTTCTTGGAAGTCTCAAAAAATGATATTTTTATCTACGAAGCCACTTTCTCTCTGCATGCATTGAAGAAGAAAATGATAATGCAAAAATCTGAGATTGAATTGAAAATATACCTCAAAGTAATTAATGTCTTTAAAATTATTGTAAACAAAGTAATTATTTCAACGTGATTCATATTTTTCTAAGCAACAGAGTTGAAGAACCCGTTTTTCCCACGCGTATAAATACAGAAGTCTTAATTTTGTGTATAAAAAAAGCACCGATTCCTGAAAACTAATTATTTGCATTTAGAAGAATATTTGTCTCTTGGTCTGCCATCCATATTGTTGAATTCACTCTCAATCTCTCTCTCATTCTCACTTGTTATAGTTTTAAGCTTGGCATTTTGTAAATAAAATGCAAAAATTTTGTCTCCGATAGCAAAGTGTACATGTACGATCTGTGAATATATAAAATAAAAACGTATAAATCTCTCTGTATAATAAAATCGCCAGAGTTTCATTTCATTTTATTCTCTTGTTGGGGCACCGAAGAGGGACATAAGTTTTTTTTTATAAACGGCCAGAAAATAGATCAAGCGCTGCAGGTTTTTCGCATTAGTCGCCCCATCAGCGGCCGCCGCGCTCAATTGCTAATGACACTCTCAAATCCCATATCGAGGCACCACACATGTTTAATTCTAACCAGCCGGTGCCACTTTTTACTAGAAAAAGCACAGGTTGTTAATATTTAGTTCGCGTGTCGCTGCAACAACCGCCTCTCTCTCTATTATTTATACCAAATAATATAACGCGCGGCCAAAAAGTGGCGCTAAGCTGCTATTTGCTCGCTAGAAAAAGAGACCTCGCGGCGTTTTTCGCGTTTGTTTTTGCGCTTTCAATCCGCAGGAAATCGCAACGTCGAAGGATATAATTTGAACAAATCTTTTATTCAACAAAAGTGTTGATATATGGAAGAAAATTAAGATCTGAAATTGCTTCAACATTTGTTCCTAATTCAGTGTATGTGTTGAGCTAGATCATTGATCTGAAATATAAGTCAAATTTTATAAAATTAATCTGATTATCAGTAAGTTCATTTTCCATCATAACTTTTGTTTATCTTTTTAAACTAGCTCCTCTTGAATTATTTTGTAAGGAAAGTTCATGATTCATTCCTCATTCCATATGAAATTTTTTTGGCCAAAACTCTCAGGTTTTTGAGAAAAAATTAGAAAATTTGACTATACAAGAGAAGTTTTTTTATTGGATCAAGAGATTCATTCGTCCACCAACTTCAGCCGCTGCATTCTTCATTCATCTACTTCAGGCCTCATTGCTTCAGAATAGTCTCCAGGATCATCAAAAAGAATGGACATCGGATCTCAGTAGAAATATTGCCAAGTTAAGAAACCTTTATTTGACGAAAGAAAGATTAGCCAAAAATCATTCTTAATTACCTAAATTATTTAATGAATGCCTATTTACTCGGCCAATCTTATCAATTCTAATGATTTAAATCTTTTTAATTATTTTCATTTGTCTTCATTTCTATTTATTTTTAATTCATCGCATTTTATTTTATGTAAAATCAAGTATGGAATATAAGAACATGATCGACTGTTTATAAATAAAAAATGATGTTTAATGTATCAAGAAAGCTGTTCTCAGAGTCGGTGCGTGGCTTTTACAGTGGGCAAGAATAGCAGCTTAGCTATAGAGAGGTAATTACGCGCGAGTCTATAATTAGGGCGAGTGATAAAATTTACATTTGTGAATGCATTAGATGATTGAAAAATCGATTCTCCTCGGCGGCGGCCTCCATTAGCTCCTTTAAAACAAACAACCCATTTAGCACCTCTCGTCGTCGTCGGCGGGGCCTCGATCTCGTCGCTTTTATCAACTGCACACAAGGCACTTCCTTCCTCGCCGCGCACTTGTGTAATTTGCCGTAATTATGATTACCAGCACTTTTTTTTGTCTTTCCTTTCCCTGCTGCGGGCTCGTCGCTTGCATAATTTTGGACAATTAACAAGATAACAATTTAAAAAAAGACAAAATTGTGCATGGACATTCAACCCACAAACAAACATTACTTTCTTCTTTATTTCAATTTGTGTTTACCATCATAATATCCTATAAAGATAACATCCTAATTTGAGCGTTTATAGAAAATGTCCTAATAATTAAGGTCCTAAAACTTTTATCCTAAATGAAATCTGAGAAAATGTCCTACAAACTATGGTTTAAATTTTCAAAAATTTCAGTTTTATATTTTACACTAAAATGTGGAACTCGGGATCCTATGCATTCCTATTTTATTTTTGACAATAAGACTCTCAGAGGTCTCTATTGAGGGACAAGTCGAGGTGGTGGTTCCTTTTTTCGTTTTCGCCGCAACTCAATTGATTTTGAGGAGCCACTCCGTTTTCAAAATTCTCAGTAGCGCCTTTTTCTGATAAAAAAAATCATTAGCAATAAATTTTCGTCTATTGTCTAAGCAGAACAGCTTTCTTGAGAGATTAAAATCCTAATTAGTCATCAACATTATGAAATAGACTAATTTTTAACACATAAAAGTTTGTGAACTACTAAAATTTAAATGATATCCGTTCGGATGGATAAATTACACACAAAGATATTTTGCAAAAGGCACTTTCTTAACAGGGTAATTTTGGCTTCAAGGCTTTCTTTAAATAATGCCTTTTACTAAAAAAGTTTGCACTTTAAATTGATTGATCATTATAAAACTAAACCTCGTGATTGAGCGCGAAATCATAAAATAATTTAATGTTTTCGTAAATTGATAGCAAAAAATTAGGACACTTAATTTGTATGTGTTTTAGTTTGTCTTTTTTTCCATAATTTTATTAGCTTTACTGTTGTAAAATGGAGCTTTTACTTGAGCGTGAGCATTGGTGCTTGAAACAAACCATTCCGTTTTGCACCAAAGCCCATTAAACAATTTTCGAGCGGCTGCACAAAAAGCTGCAAAGGCTTCTCAGGCGCACATTTCTCGTCGCACTTTGTAAGGCCAAGAACGGATTCGTGTTTTCTCCAATCGGCGCCGCTTCAAGAAGAAGGGAAGCCCCACGGCCGCCGCAACCCTTTCCGTACAGAGCCAATTAGTCACATGCTTTTCTCAAATATCATATTAGGGGTGCTTTTGCATCCCCAAAAGTGAGAAAACGTCCATTTTTGCTTCACCAGGATTAGCAAAAGGAAAAAACTATAGTGTCAATAAAAAAATCAAGACAAAAAAGCAAAATGTCTAAAAATCCTTTTGAAACTAAGATTAATTGTTTGCAAAAACTCATTTCTCATTAGGAAATAATAAGCGTCCATTGATTGGCTGCAGTTACAAATGATGATGGCCCAAATTTTGACTTTCCGCCGCTTTCCAGAATCATGGCGTCTCTCAATTTCCTGCGCGGCTGCAGCGACGGAAAATTGATTCGAATTTCCCTATCATTTGATGAGCTCCTGTGGTTGATGAGCCGAAGCTGATGATGAATCTGTGTTACCCCGCGCGCTCTGCATTCACTTCTCATTAAGGAGCAAACACACACTTCCCAGGGCAGTGCAAAAAATTCATACCGGGAATAAAATTGAACAGAATTACCACATTAAAGAGAAAAATGCCGAAGCACAGGTTGGTTGGCAAGGGGACTTCTTCGGAAGACTTGAAAGATTTTGGAAAAGTCCCGAAACTTTCCCGGAAAAAAATCAACTTAAAAATTCAATATCTCGTAGGGTTCTATTTGAGATCCAGAAATGCGGCTATAGAACCAAAAAATGTCTCTTTACCTCCTTTTCAGCCCTGAGAATTCAAATTACTCAGAGATCAAAGGTTTACGTTTTTTGCTGATAATCAAATGTAAATTTTGAGATTTTGGAATGAATTGTAAACAAATAAAGAAATTTAGGCTTGAAATGTGTCCGTGATATTTATTTTAATTTTATAGATGAATAAAATCCAAAATTGTAATAATCAATTTCCTTTGATAGTTTCGTTTTAATTAATTTTTATTTTATTATTACGTAATGTGGATAGTTTGATAGTAAAGAGATATTTTAAGAACCAAGTAGAAATAACTTTAATAATCGTTGAAAAAACTTATTTAAAATTGAATTTTGTGTTCCAAAACTAAGCTTTTGCTGGAATTAGCTTACCCGGTTGGTTTTGATAAGAATTAAATTGATATTTTCACACTTCCCCGGCCACGGCGGCTCCGCAGCAGAACCTTTTGAAACACAATATGCGCGCGGCCGCTTAATATATATAAACTGAAAATTTTGGTGGCTGCTTTTGTGTGTGCGCGGAGGCAATAAGGAGTTCTATTATTGCCTCATTACAGGTAGCTATTTGCGGCGCCTTTGATTGCCGACGAGAGGTCATCCATTGTTCAAAGCCCCTAAGGGACGCACAAAAAAAAAACGAGAGACTTAATGGCCAGCGATTGTGCTGCAGCGGGGCTTCCAACATCAATTAAATCTATCCGCGTTAATCCAATTTGGAACGTAATCATAAAACTTGATATTCGCCAACTCCGAACGCTCTCATTTTTCTTCTCCCAGCCCGGCTCTAATTACACAACAAAAGAACGCACACTAATCTCTCTTTCACTTTTCTGAATTTAGTCGTAATTAGCATCGCAGAGGAAAATATTTATCTTAAAAGAGCTGCCGATTACACGCAGGTGCAACCGATTCCAACTTTTACACTTCCCGGTAGCTTCGGACGTTAATTAAGTAGATTTCTTAATTAACAAAAAGGGGCGAAACAAAATTTTTATTCAAATACAAAAAACATTATTTGATGATAAGCAAAATATTTTGGATTAAATTGTGAAATTAAAAAAACACTATAGTGTTTCATTTCCAGGTAATAATCTTTATTAAAACCTAATTTTATTTTCTAATTTTTAATAGAATTTCATAAACAATTAAACATTTATGGTGAAACCGCAATCTTTTTTTGTTTTGTTTTTTTGTTAACAAAATTTAGCAAAAGTGGAAGCTTTTTTCATATAAATTCATGAGAGGTAAGACTGAATTTTGATTCTTGACGAGGGCAGCTGAAATTGTGGGAAAATGTGACCCCGTATTTTTTCCACCCACTTGAAAGTTTATAACATTTGTATAACTAATACAATTACACTGCAGAGAGTGAAGTCGAGAGCGGCCTCTTGAAAAAAGTTAACCGCACAAAAGGAGAATTTAGTTTTTCGAGAGGTTTGCGCGAACCGCACAATTAATTGAAACTGTATTGCTTAATGACGAGACGCATTTGAATTCTTTTGAATCTAAAAGTGAGTCAATGCGGTGCTAAAATCCAAAAGCTTTTCCCATTCTCAGAGAGAGCCACTCGAGAGTCACAAAAGCGAAAAGAGCTAGGGAGAGACCGACCAGACCATTGAAAGGAAGAAAGAAAAGTCGAGCTGCGTGCGTTCAATAGTTTGTTCTTCAGCTTAGCAATTTTTTTAAAACCAATTTTTCACCCAAATGGCAAAAACAATGTAAACAATTTTGATATTTTGTCGAACTTGGAATAAAATAATTTAAATGCATTTTATCATTAAAATAATCTGTAATTTTTAAATGTAAAGATAAAATAATCAAAATTTTATATGAAAAGTTCTGATCGTGGATGATTTTTCGTGTGTTCAGGATCGAGTATTGCAGACAAACGCCACTTAATTTTTTTTGAGGCGCGCGGACAAAAGCATAGAAAATATAATGATTGTGGCGGCGCCGTCGGAAAGAGATCCACAAAAGTCGCGCGCGGAATAAAAAAGTAATTGCCGCGGCAACCCTTCAATTAGGCCCCGCACTGTGGGTTAATAAGCAATTTATTGTGGCCGCTGCATCGCAACAATGACAGGGTTTTAAAGCCACTTTTGTGTCTTTGCACGGCTCTCTATGATTTCCATCCACAAAGATAATCACGCGCGGCGACTCGGAGGAGCCTCGAATACTCCCAAAATTAAATGCTGTGCTATCATTTTATGGCGCCGCCCCGGGCCATTTCGCTCTTTAAGAATGAAATCTTTTCCCTACAGATTTTCTCGAACCAAAGCACACAGATGAGTCACTCTCCATCTCACACTAAATGCGGGCAACTTTAAAGCAAATTATATAGAAATTTGTATTATTTTTAATGAAATTTTAAACTTATAACATTAATTTATTTTCACATAAATTTTATTTTCTAATAATAAAATTAATAATGCAGATTTTTGTGAAGTTCCCAACAAACATTTCAGCGTTTTTCCTCCACAATTTCCATTTCGGTGTTGAGTTGAAATTGCCCAAGCTTCCGATGGAATTCCAGCCATGATTTTCCACAAACGCTATTTACTTGTGTGATGACGCAAAATTGGCGTTGCTGTTTGGTGATGGTTGCTAAATTTCTGGAACAAAAATACACATTTTTTAAATAAATTTAATGTTGAAATAAACACATAAAAAGTTTAAATTGGTAAATTCTTATTTATTAATTTCATTTTTATAAAAATAAAATCAATCAATCAATCAATTTAATTTTGTTTTAGAATTGGAATAAATTCTGAATAAAGATAGTGCTTTAGATTATGGGAAAGCTAGGGAGGTTTGTTGATTTTGTGAATGGAAATTAGCATAAGAATCAATCGAGCGTGGATTTGTTTCTTTCTTTTAGTTCGGTGCTCGCGGACAAAAGAAATAAACAAAACTCGGAGGCAAACCCGGCAATTAGGGCTCGCGAGCAGTTTTTCTGGTAAAAGCTGCTTTTGAATGGCGCGCGGTGCATCTGGCATGGTAATAAATAATAATGGACCAATTTTCCCCGCTGTTAGATTGGAGGTTCCCATGAAAGGGCTTCTTTGCTTTTTTGCCGCGCCGGGCCTCGCTTAATTTGCACCTTCAAAGACACAAAACGCGGCGTCATTTCGTCCTCCAAATGGAGATCCCTTGAAATATAAATAGCCGTGCGGCGATTTAACGCAGCGACTGGCGCCAACCGACGCGACCAACAAAAACACACACACAAAGTACATCTTCTCACTCTCATTAACTCACCGGCCCAATGATACAACCCAAATTATTCTCTTCAAACGAGATCTCTAACAATATAAATGCGATCATTCGCTTCCAATTTCAAACCGAGTAGTAAAATTAAAAGCTTAAAAACAACAAACAAGATGTAAAGAACAAAATTTTCAAATAAAATTATAAAATTTAGATTTTGAACAATTTCATATACCTGCAAAAATATTGATTGTTTTCGTTTTTCAATCAACTTTAGCAATAAATTTCAATTTTGTTAAAATTTGCGTAAATTTTTTATTTCATTTAAAATTAACCTTTTTCTCTGAATTGTCCCTGTATATAATTTTGTCTCATCAGCTTCAGAAAAGGAATAAAACAATATTAAAATTACAATTTTTAAAATTGGTCCTTGTGGTTTAGAAAATTTATCAAAATTAGTTTGGTTTTTATTAATTATCATGAAATACAACTTTTTTAAAGGTCAATAAATTTGAATTAATTTCGAATCCACGAAATCCACTTTTGAACTTTTTTATAAATGCCACACAAGCAAATAAGTTTATCCAAACGTCAAAATGAAAAAGTGATTTGCCGCGTCGCCACCAGTCGGCGAGTTGAAACAAAACATGACAAATGAACGCCCCCGCCGCTCCCAAAATTAATTAACAAATCGTCGGATCGAATTGAATTCGGAATCAACAAAGTGTGTGCATAATTAAAAAGCAGCTGCCGAAAGGAAAGAGAGAAAGAAACGGATTCGGGCCGGTGCTCGATTGTGTTTAATTCAATCAATTCGGCGTCGCGTTAATAGAGTTTGAAATCAAGGAGCTCATTGTTGGTGCGAGCGAGCCAATAATTACAAGCTCATTGTTTCGGCCCCTTTCACAGAGCGTGCGGTGCCGCCAACGCTATTATGCCTCTAATTATCTCTGCGGGGGTTTCTTCGGCTACTCGATCGCTGCACCAAAGGCAATATGGAGATTGGACAACAAATGCAACCGGGTCGTCAAAATTAGTCGCACACAACAATTATTCTTCATGTTTTTATAATTTTATATAAACATGAAATAATTTCCAAAGGCAGAGAGGTTTGGCTAATCAATGGTTTGAAATCGGTTCGTGGTGACCTGACCTTTCCAATGATGTGTCATACATGACATGTTACAACCGATTTTAATTTTAGTGGTAGGGGGAGGGGAGTTTCCGACCAATGCATGGGATCACCAGATTGCTAAATTTGCCGTTTGATAAACAAATCTCAATCTCAGGGACTCTATGACCTTTTAGGACTTCATGTGACCTTTCCTTTTTAACTATGTTTCAGCCAAAATAAATTAATGAATTTTTTATTATCACTGTTCTCTTCACAAATCTCACAGTGACCTTAACCTTCCTGGGCACCGATAGATTCCTCTTGACCTAAAGTTTGGTGATTTCCTACCAAAGAAGAGGTTTATCTATGATTAAGTTAATTTTCAACATCTAATATAAATTATTTTTAGCCTTCTGATCCATGGAGGTGTAAATCGATCTAGTTTAAAGCAACTTTTGTACACAATTTAAACTCAATTAAGCAATTTAATTTGCCGAATTCCTTTTTTAAGTACAACAATCCATTAGATAAAAATTTTGAGATTATTCGATGCGACCCGATTAATTTATCTGGTGTATTAGTGTGTGCGGTGGCGTGGCCGTGGCTCTCGAGTGGCGTATTAATTCACGCGCGATGCGGCGGCATTCTAGCAGCAAACATGGGGTGTTAAGCTATTAGTGATTTTCATCAATCATTTCCAAGCTCCTGCAGTGCTACCGCCGCCGCTCTTTTCTTCTCAGCCGACACGTTTTCTCTCTCCGGCCCCGACCGACCTCGCAACCAACCAACGAACGCTTACCGACATTTAATTGCACTCTATTAAGCCGCGTTTGCTGCCTTTCAATCTGAAACATTAGCCTGGGAACATGTCAGCTTTCCACCCTCGCAGCAGCCCCGACTTGCCACAATTACTCACTTTCAGACCCAACGGCCCTCTTTGCGCCTCCAATTTTCATTCAAAGCGAAAAACTTTATCTTTAAGAGCAGCAAAATCTCTACAAAAAATTAATCTTTAGAATACAAGGATCATTTTGATAACTGCAAAATTGAGAGTCAAAGCGTAAATTTTAAGAAAGTTTTTTTCCATTTTCCTGGCTTCTGATTGTGAGAAGACCAAGCCATTGTTTTTGATCGATTCCTGCAAACAAATGTCATGGAAATTCAGATTATGGTTCTTAAAATAGTTAAAATACCAATTAAATGAAATTTTTTGATAATTTTCAATTTCCAATATGGCCGACAGAGATAAATAAGGGAATTTACTAAAACTGCAGCCAAATTAATTTAGGTAAAGATTTTTTAAATTTCTTCGCGGTAGGTTGGAGCTGATTAACCAAGGTTACTAAGTTTTTAGGTCAAAGGTCAAGCAGTCGTTTAATTTTTTTTCTTATATTTTGTAAAATAGCGTTCGATTGACTGAAATTGATCTGTTCTGATGAGACACAAATTTGAAATGAGTTTTTTATAATATGAGAGTAGCTTTCATTGTATTCCATTCAAAATTAAAGGGTTTGAAAAAAATTTGGCAAGAGATTTATTTCAAGTCTTGTTTAATTATGCAAGCGGCTGCGTTGCTGGTTGCTGGCGACCCTTGGCGGCCCCGCGTGTTTGGATTTGGAAAATGGAAGAAAAAAGAAGTGGATTGCGTCCCTGGTCAATTGGCATGCATTGACAGCAATTTCTGCGAGAGCAATCGGCGCTGGGAATAATGGCTCTGACGAGAGATCCAATCCGAGATTTTCACACCGGCTTATTTCCCAAGTGCAATTACGAGCAGCGCGCGGCAGACGAATCGATCGTTACAAAATAAATTGCCTTATTTCGAATTTATGCATATCCATCGCGCACTTTTGAAATAGAACAAAAAGCTACTCCTTGTTATTTTCTCACCGACGACGACACATATTGAATGTTGTATAATTTATTTGTGCGGTTAAGAACTCAATTCGCTACCATCCGTTTACCAGACACATTATTACAAATTACTCTGTTATCTCACAAGCAACGCTCTCTCGTGTGGTTTTGATACTTTTTGTCTCTCTCGGCGAGAGGAGAAGCGCAAATATACACTTTCAAGTTGATTTAAACTTTGATCTGCAGTGAATAAATATTTCAAAATATAGATTGAAATGAGATATAATCATAACCGGAATCTAAAAAGACAAATTTTGGATATATATATATATATATATATATATATATATATTTTTAAAAAAATACCTTTATTTTGCTTCAACTGCGAAATTCACCGAAAAGTTGATTGAAAATAATTTTCCTCCCCAATACTATTTGTTTATTTTATCAGTTTTACGCTCATTTGGCAGTTCTGACCTATATTTAACAGTTACACAAATATATTTTTCTCTTGAAAAATATATTGAAATTTTTACTTTTTTTTGTAAAGAAGTCTTCTCCGTTTAGATCAAAGTGGATTTACGATTTGAATTAGGCCGGGTGTTGTTGGATTAAGTTTGTGTGTTGCACGTGAGAAACGTTTTTCTCTCTTTCTCTGTGAGTGTTTCTAAACCACTAAGTGCCGTGTTGTGATTATTTCAATTTGAAAGAGCCGCATGAAAGCGATTTCGCTGCTTTTTACCTGCGCTGGAAAACAATAATGACTTTTGAGCCAGGCCGGCCGGTGAAAAATGCTCCTCTTTTCTGTAATTCCCGAGAGACGCTTTGCCGCAGCTTTTTTACCACTTTAGAGCTGCATAAGAGCTTGGGAAAGTCATTTCCTCCTGCATCTCAATCCGACACGAAGTATCAAATCAAGCAGCAGCTGTTGGGAATTGAAATTATTTTACTTGATGTCTCACTTGTTCCCAGCGATTGCGCACTTTTTTGTTCAATAATGCGTGTAAAAAACTGCAATTGAAGGTTGATTTGAAGGAGTAATTAATATTATTAAACAATTGGATTAAAGGGATATTTAATTAACAAATTAAATTCAAAACTTTTAAATATGTTTTCTTATTTCAGTATAACTTTTCCTTCTTTCTTCATCTCACTTTTAGTGAGATTTAACAACGATTTTCAATATGATGAAAATTGCGAAATTGAAAAACGTGTGAAACTTTAAAATTGCTTTCCACTAAAATTTTGTCGCAAACTCTGCGCTAGATGATAACGGGAAGCAATTATAATATCGCACTCTGCCTGCAATTAAAAACGGCGAATATATATTTTTGCAGAGCGTCGATTCTGTTCAATTCTGTGGGGCGAAGAACCATCAGCAAAGGAGTCAATTGCATGAAACTTGAATTACGCAGAAAATATGAGAGTAAATTTATT